AGAGGACGGTAGGGAGGAGCTGGCACCACACGGGTGGCGTAGTCAAGGCGGCTGGCGGCAGCAAACTCAGCGACAGCGGCAGTGAGAGCCGAGACAGACGACGGAGGGAAACGAGGGTCGGTGACAAGAGTGGTGAGGACACGTGCGGCAACAGGACGAACAGCGCGGTAGTAGTCAGAGATAGGAGTGGGGAGGGCAGGTAGAGAGGACGGAGGAGGAGATGGGAGAACGGACACAGGAGAAGGAGAACGACGACGAGACGAACAAAGGAGGGCAGTGTGGAGGTCAGTAACAGGGGACGAGTGACGAGCACGCGGAGGACAACGAGTGATCAAGTAGCGACGGACAGAGGGAGGAGGAGACTGAGGAGGAGGAGAAGACCAGACCGCCGGACGGTCGTCAGGAGGAGGCAACGGAGGAACAAACACAGGAGGAGACGGGGAGCGGACAGGAGGAGAGGAGGAAAGGCCAAGGGCCCGCAAGCCACTCACAGGTGGGAACAACCGCCGCTCTAGAGGAAGCTGCGGTGGCGGCTGCGGCCGCTGCGGCTGCGGCTGCGGCTGCTACTGCTGCTGCGGCTGTGGCTGCGGCTGCGGCTGCGGCTGCTGCTGCTGCTGCTGCTGCTGCCGCTGCTGCTCCAGAAGGTCCAGCACCCGCAGCTCCTGCCGCTCCCTCTCCAACCGCTCCTGCTCCTCACGCTCACGCCGACGGGCAGCCTGGAGACGCGTGTCGTGGCGGTGGGGGGGCGGGGTGGACTCCGCAGAACCAGGGTCTCCAGCGTCAGTCTCCTCAGACTCAGCACCCCCAGAACCAGTACCGCCAGTGCTAGGACCTCCAACTCCAGCACCCCCAGAACTAGCACCGCTAGTGCCAGCACCCCCAACTCCAGCACCCCACAGAACCAGCACCTCCAGTGCCGGCACCTCCAGCTCCAGCACCCCCAGAGCTAGCGCCACCTACGCCAGCACCTCCAGCTCCAGCACCCCCAGAGCTAGCGTCATCTGCGCCAGCACCTCCAGCTCCAGTACCCCGCGACCGAGCACCCCCAGACCGAGCACCGCCAGCGGTTGCACCTCCAGCTCCAACACCAACCGAGTCCACAGTAACCTGTCGCGGAAGTGCCGAAGGCTGCTGAGGGGACTGTGAGGAGGACTGCGGGGAAGGAGACGCTACCTGACGCGCGATCGAGGGGAGAGGGGTAGCGTGGGACACACCAGTCGGGGCAGGACCAGGGGGGGGCGGGGGTACCGGAGGAGCGGGAGCAGGAGGAGGAGAGGGTGCGAGGAAGAGAGGGGGAGGGGGTACCGGGAGACCTCGACAGGGGTACCGGGTGTAGTAGGACACGGACTCGTCAAACCGGACGTCACGGGAATCTAGGAACTGGTGGAGGGGAGGGTGGTAAAAGGACCAGTCAGCAGAGTCCACTGGGAAACCAAGGAAGACACAGGGGACGGCGCGTGCCGAGAGCTTGTCCGCGGAGGTGTCGCGAACAAGTGCAAGGCAGCCCCAGACTCGAAAGGCCGACCCAACACCAGGGGATCCAGTCCAGAGACTGGTCGGTGAAGCCTCGGGCCGCGAGACACGCGGCTGGAGGTTCAGCTGGTGTGCGGCGTAGCGAACCGCGTGGGGCCACAGAAAATGGGGCGCACGGGCATGAATCATGGACGTGCGGGCGATGTCCATGACCAAGCCTATGCGGCGCTCAGCAACCCCATTCTGCTGTGGGGACTCTGGCAGCGTCCAGGACTGGGTGATGCCCTGTTCGCCGCAGAATCCGCCGAGAATGCCGGAGCACAACTCGCCCCCACGGTCGGAGTGAAGACAACTGACTCGACGACCACGAGTGCCCTCAGTGGCTAGAAGCCACCTGATCAGCGTAGCAGTCACCTCGGACTTCTTCGCAAGAGGAAACATTGTGGTGTACCTGGAGAAGTCGTCGACGACCACCAGAAAGTAGCGCTCCCTCCCAGACCCCTGCGTCGGGGCAGGGCCCCAGACGTCCAAGTGGAGAGTCTCGAAGGGAGCGGTGGCCGGACGAAGGGAGGAGGAGTGGGGAGTGGCACGTAATCGACCGGCGACGCACGGAGAGCAAGGAGGGGCAAGCGAGGGAGGGAGCGACGAGAAGGTGCGTGGGAGACCTGTGACTAGTCCCTGACTGAGCATGCCACGAAGGCGAGGGATCGACGGGTGGCCAAGACGGTGGTGCCACAGGACGGTGCGGTGGGCGAGAGAGCGACAGGAGCAAGACGCGGCGACTGGACTGGACACAGCGACCGGACTGGACACAGCCACCTGACCGGACTCTGCTACCGGGGGGGACGAAGCAACCTGACCAGACGCAGCTACCTGCGGGGGCGGAGTGTGCAGGACGAAGAGACCTGAGTGGGGCTCTCTGGTGAACGTGGCAAGAACTGCCCCGGTGGAAGAGTCCGTACAGATCGCAGTCCTCCCGTGCGCAGGAAAAGTGACTGTGATCCCCCGGTCCTGAAGGTATCCAACACCCACCAAGTTCCGAGAGAACGAGGGGATGTAGAGACCAGTGAGGAAACCAGAGGGGACAGCCGGGCACGGGAGGGTGGTCGAGCTACGAGCAACTGCTGGTCCTGAAGTAGGATCAGCCAGGGCAACTGGGACTGGAGCCGAAAGAGGTGTGACAGTGGTGTGGTCGCGGAAGAAACACTGAGACGCGCCGGAGTCCAGCGTGAAGGAGAGCGACGCAACAGCAGTCGTCACGGCTGGGCTAGTGACTACACAAGCACCTACACTAAAAGCACAAGTACCGACACTAGCAACAGGCAAAGGTCCTAAGCTAGGTACACGTAAGCCAAGAGATCCGTACGTGACAGAATAAACAGCATCCATAGACATATCAAACACAGGGAAACCACTACGAAACAGACCGGGCCAGATCGGGGGAGCCGACTCAGGCCCAAAACGCTCACGGTAAAGGTCGTCGAGGCGGCTGTAGCAGCGCTGTGCAGAGTGGTCAGGACGCCAGCAGGTAGTGCCAGCACCAGGGCCGGTCAGGATCCGGTACTGGCAGGGGCCGACGTCGCGGCCACCGCGACGAGCCCCCCAGCTGGCTGGGCCGCTGCTGCAGCCAACGCGACCTGAACCACCAGGCCCCCATGGCTGCTGAGGGCGCCACAGCTGCTGAGGGCGCCCCTGCCGCTGCGGAAGCCACTGCTGAAAAGGCCGCTGCTGCTGTCCCTGCTGCTGGAGAACCCTAGCGGACTCCATGATAAAAGCTAGCGGGGTGCAGGAGCGGCAGGCTAGGAGCGACAGGAGCGACAGGCTGCTGTGAAAAACGAGAACAACTAGGAGCGCAAGGTGAAACCAGGCGAGTAACTGCTGGAGCACGGAGCGAACTAAGCTAGGAGCGCCAGGTGAAACCAGGCGAGTAACTGCTGGAGCACGGAGCGAACTAAGCTAGGAGCGCCAAGTGAAACTAGGCGAGGAACGGCTGGAGCACGGAGCAAACTGAGCTAGAAGCGCCAGGTGAAACTAGGCGAGGAACGGCCGGAGCACGGAGCAAACTGAGCTACGAGCGAGGAGCGAGAACGGCTGGAGCGAGAACGGCTGGAGCTAGAAGCGGCGAGCTAGGGCTGGCTGGAGGTAGGAACGGCCGGGGCTAGAGACCGTAAGTGCGGCTGTCGGCTGCCGCTAGTAGAGCCACTGGCAGTGGAAAGTACGTGCGACAGTAGGGGCTGCAGTACTGACGGCTGCGGGATGTAGGCAACTGTGCAGGTCGTCCGGCAAGCAGGAACGCGGGCGACAGTCGCAGGCCCCCACTGTGAACCCCCTTTTTTTTTTTTTTTTTTTTTAGGGTTTAATTTATTTATTTATTTTCTGGCACTAAAGCACCCCGGGGCGCGCTGCCTGCAGGGTGTGCTGCCTGCGGGGCGCGCTACCCGCGGGGCGCGCCTCCTGCGGGGCGCGCTACCCGCGGGGCGCGCTACCCGCGTGGCGCGCTGCCTGCGGGGCTGGGGTGACGAACCAGGGAGGGCGCCTGGGCGACGGGCTAGGGCGGGCGCCTGGGCGACGGGCTAGGGCGGGCGCCTGGGCGACGGGCTGGGGCGGGCGCCTGGGCGACGGGCTGGGGTGGGCGCCTGGGCGACGGGCTAGGGCGGGCGCCTGGGCGACGGGCTAGGGCGGGCGCCTGGGCGACGGGCTAGGGCGGGCGCCTGGGCGACGGGCTAGGGCGGGCGCCTGGGCGACGGGCTAGGGCGGGCGCCTGGGCGACGGGCTAGGGCGGGTGTCTGGGCGACGGGCTAGGGCGGGCGCCTGGGCGACGGGCTAGGGCGGGCGCCTGGGCGACGGGCTAGGGCGTGGGCCTGGGCGACGGGCTAGGGGTGCAGGCTAGGGGCGCGGAGGGCGCTAACGCGCGGCGGAGGAGGGTGCTAAGGCGCGGAGATGGCGCGGAGGGCGCGGTGGCTAAGGCGCGGAGGGCGCGGAGGGCGCGGAGGGCGCGGAGGGCGCGGAGGGCGCGGAGTGTGCTAGGGCGCAAGGGCGCGGAGGGCGCTAGGGCGCGAGCTAGGCTAGGCTAGGCGAGAGGATCGACACCTACTCATGATACCATCTCAAAGTTAGCGAACAACGGAATAATTGGAATAGAAACGAATGGGGTACAAATGAGCAACCCTAGAAGCTGTACCCCCTAGAGTGCAACTCACTATAGCCTATCATATCAATGTTCAACATTTGACATATGCACCAATGCTACAAATGAGATTGATGGGGTCGTTGAAACAGCAAAAACACGCCGCCCCAACGACGATGACAACCCCAGCTGCAAACTTTGAAACAATCACAACCAACCGACATGAATGACATGTTGAACTTACACATACGCACAAACACACACGCACAAACACACACGCACAAACACACATGCACGGACACATATGCATATACACATACATACAAAGAGGATAGAGAAAGCAAACAAGGAGTCGCAAGTAAATGAATATCAACAATCACTGCTAGCCTGCCCCCAGTTCCTATCCTGTTCCCCCTTCCCTCTTCATCCCTCGCTTTTCCACGTCTTCCCCTCGCTTTCCCTTTTCTGCTCCCCGCGATGTGGCTCGCATATCCTGCAAAACATACAGGTCACGCAACAAAAATGCTAGTTATGCAAGGCGCCAGCGCACCGCAGCAAGGCGCCAGCGCGCTAGGGTAGAAATAGTAAAGCATGATTGAAAGGGTTGTTATTAACAGTGCCGTAAATTGATAAAACATAAATACTACAGGCAAATCCAATTTGACGTCTCACACACGTGGCTTAAAACTCGAATCCAAGGCAACACGAATACCACATCAGCATGCACGGAATGCATCACCTGCAGCAGAAAGGAAAGAGAGCAAAAATGATAGCAGAAATTTTTTGGCACCAAGTCCACACATGGCGCCAGCGCATTAGGCGCCAGCGCGCATGGCGCCAGCGTGTTAGGCGCCAGCGCACATGACGCCATAGCGTTAGGTGCCAGAGCGCATGGCGCCAGCGCGTTAGGCGCCAGCGCGCATGGCGCCAGAGCACATAGCGCCAGCGCGCATGGCGCCAGCGTGCATGGCGCCAGCGCACATGGCGCCAGCGCCCATGGCGCCACTACGTTAGGCACCAGCGCGCATGACGCCAGCGCGCATGGCGCCAGCATGCATGGCGCCAGCGCGTTAGGCGCCAGCGCACATGGCGCCAGCGCGCATGGCGCCAGCGCACAAGGCGCCAGCGCGCAAGGCGCCAGCGCGCAAGGCGCCAGCGCGTTAGGCGCCAGCGCGCATGGCGCCAGCGCACATGGCGCCAGCGCGTTAGGCGTCATCGCGCATGGCGCCAGCGCGTTGGACGCCAGCGCACATGGCGCTAGCGCGCATGGCGCCAGCGCGCATGGCGCCAGCGCGTTAGGCGCTAGCGCGCTAGGCGCCAGCGTGCTAGGCGCCAGCGCGCTACGCGCCAGTGCGCTACGCGCCAGCGCGCTACGCGCCAGCGCATTAGGCGCCAGTGCGTTAGGCGCCAGCGCGCTAATCACCAACCGGCAAAAAGATCTTACAAAGAAAAGTAGAAAACAAAATATCGGGGAACGGAAACGCACCTGAGACGACGGTGCAGCAACCCACGCTCGCGCTCGTGCACCCACCAAAGGCGACGGCGGGAAGGGAGGGAGGGGCGACGGCGAGGAGGAAGGGAGAGCGACGGCGGGGACCGAGGGAGAGGCTATGATGGGGAGGGAGGGAGAGGCTATGATGGGGAGGGAGGGAGAGGCGACGGTGGGGAGTGAGGGAGAGGCGACGGTAGGGAGCGAGGGAGAGGCGACGGTGGGGAGCGAGGGAGAGGCGACGGTGGGGAGTGAGTAGAGGCGACGGTGGAGTGAGGAGAGGCGGCTGGAAGAATAGGTGGTAGGGAGTCGCGGTAGCAGGATGAGCTACGGCTGGTTTGGGAAAAGTAGAGAGCAGCGTGGAGCAGGTGGTTGGATTCAAGAAACCTGGACGAGGCTGTCTAGGGTAAGGAAGGAATTTCTTTGGGCTGGTTGGGATTGTGTGGGGCTGGCCAGAAAAAATTCTGCCAAAGCAAACAAGGCGCGAAACGTTTTTTACAATGGGAGTACAGTACAGTACGAGGACGATGGGACGGATTGCAAGCTACTCGGGCACATGACATTCCGAAAAAGAAAATAACACACACAGACAAACACTCTATTTTACTACACATAGGGTTTAGCTGCAAATGAACAAACCCACTAAAACTATATGATTGTGCCAACTGTACACGTATAAACACAACTAAACATAATAACTCTAATATAAATATCCAAATCTGTACCCGTTAATAGCATTCATTGGAAGAGAAAAGAACATGAGGAATAACAAACTGAGGAACTTAGAACCTGTTACAGACATGATAAATATTCATGGCGTTCTCTGAATAACGTATGTGTATTATTAAACATTCGTCATATCTTCGTACAACAAATATATAACCATTACGCAACCCTTACGACGTAAACGTCGAGTCTTGTTCCATTTTCGTCAAATGCCCGGACGGAGCCTCCAAACCGGCCGGACGGAGCTCCGTTCAGACGTTTGGGAAGCAGGTCCGGACAGTAAGGCGTCCGGACCACAATTGTGCAACTTTTTCCCCTTTTGAAAAATTTAGAATCTCGCCACGAATAATAACACGCATTACAGAAATCGTATAGCACTTGAAGATTTCGCCACCGAAATTTGGCGGCATCCTAATTCAATTCGTGGCCAAATCACAGCGCAGACGGTGTCAGCAGGTTAGTCCGGACCACTTTGTGGCAGAAAAGTGTCAGATTGTGTCCGGATGGTAACGACGTCACAGGGGGTCTTGCGAACATCTAAACGAATTGATACGAAATCAGTTACCCTACAAAAGTCCGGACGGGGCCTCCGTCCAGACGATGAAAGGTGAAAAAGTTACGCACCCTAAGGCAAATTCCTTTTCCTTCGCGTGCCTGCTTAGCGCGTACACCACTGTTCCCGCCAACAGCACCCAACAGTAATCTGTTACCACTCGCGACACTCGCTTCGACACTGTTCTCGCCAATGTTCACGATGCGACCCAACCTCACGGTTCGGTTGGTAACCCGCGCTCCGGACCACCGCCTCGACATTTCCCAACCTCGGCGCAAGGCCCGTCGCGCACCTCATTTTCCACCATTACCGTTACGACTATAGTTTCGCTATGTATTCTTTGCTCATGCCTTCGCACATTGTACGCTTACTTCGATAGTGCAATTCTCGTTGACTCACTCAATTGCATTCGTAACACTTGGTATTCAGAGCCTACGATCTCTTCTCGGACCGCGCCCACACCTTCGCTTCCCCACTATCTCAAATTTTTGGGGGGGTAGACGTCTCTCAGCGAAACAAGCACCGCTGCTCATAGTGCTCTCTCGTAAGCACACATGGCCACGGCAGAGGCTCTCGCTGAGCTTGCCCTACACCCCCGCCATGGCCGAATTCACTCTCGCGACACTGACGCAGGAGCAACTCGACCGTCTCGTGCGCCAAATTGAAGACTCGGCGCTCGAAATTGCGACACTCATGGGGGAACGCGACTCCACTCGTCAGCAATCCACGGTGAATGCTCCAGCGCCAACACACGCACCTACACAATCGGAGGAGCCGATCGCCATTTCATCAGGCACACAGACACAAAACGACAGCGTGGGACAGCGCTCAGGCGCAGCCAGTGATGGCGCCGCTCAATCGATGCCTGGCATGGAGAGGAACAGGACCACGCCAAGCCCGAGGGAGCCTCGCGAAGCCCGTCGGCACGTGGAGTTTGCGGCGACAAGCGGCGACCACGCCATCATGGCACCAATGCCACTCAAGCCGCAGCGCCCGCCCTGTTTCGACCCGAGCCAGCGTGGAGGTCCGACGGTTCAATCGTGGGTCTTCACGATGAACGTCTTTTTTTACACGAACTACGTCGAGTCAGACACAGCGAAGATCCGATATGCCGTCTCGCTGCTGAGGGGCCTCGCCATGGACTGGTGGCTGAGAAACTTAGAACGAGAATGGATGACTAAGGAATGAAAGTGATACAAATATGAAACCCTAGAATTGTGTACCCCTTAGTATCTAACCCGCTACAGCCTACACAGGCTAGATCATATAAGTTTGACACACCCCCATAGGCAAAGTGGGGGAGAACAAGGGGTCACAAGACCAGTCAAGCAAAGCAAGGCAAAGCAAGCTCAGGGTGGATCACAACGTCACCACACATTCTGAGCACAAGTTCAAGGCCACAAGGCCAGTTCACATGCATGAGTACACACATATATATAAAGCTAAACAAGCAAGAGCAGGTATATATATATGTAACAGTACAAGCAAGGTCAAGAAGTGAGCAAGTGAGGTAAGGTAGGTACAAGACCTAACAGAGTACAGAAGCGCTGATGGTCGCAAGGCGCGAGTGCCTTGGTGAAGATATCAGCAGTGTTGGCCTCAGAGGCCACGTAAGCAAGACGCAGCTGACCGCGCTGCTGCAGCTCACGAGCAAGGAAGTAGCGAAGAGCGATGTGCTTCGTTCTGTGCTCCAGTCTGTGCTCCCGACACAAGGCCAGCATAGCCTTGTTGTCTACGTACAGAACTGGAGGAGAACGAGGCGGCTCTCCTAGGTCAGTCAGCAGGTAGGTGAGCCAGCGTAGCTCCTGTGCAGCCATGGCCCCTGCGTAGATCTCAGCCTCACAACTGGAGCCGAGAACAGAAGACGAGCGGGTAGACCGCCACGAAACAGAGCCGGAACCAAGGCTGAAGGTGTAACCCTGTGACGACCGCTGCGTAGCCTGGTCGTCAGCCCAAGAAGCGTCTGCGTGACCAGTGAGGACCACTGGACTCCGCCCTCCAAGCACAAGCCCCATGCCCGACGTACTGCACAAGTAGCGCAACACCCTCTTCGCTGCAGCCATGTGCTCTGGTCTGTGTCTCCCAGGAGCAACATAGCGTGCCAGAATGCTAAGAGGGTATGCAAGGTCAGGTCGAGTGCAGGTCATCAGGTACATGAGGCAGCCAACAAGCTCTGGGTACGGGCCACTCGACTCTACGGACTCATCCGAAGGCAGAGCTGAGAGTGAGTGGCGAGTAGACAGAGGAGTGGCCTGAGGCGAGGAGTACGTGAAGCCGAAGCGCTGAAGGACCTGCTGCACCATGTGTGACTCAGTCAGGGTAATGGTGCGCTGTGCTCTGTCCCGGGTGATCTGCAAGCCAAGGTAGCTGCGCAGTTCACCCAGGTCTGTGCACGTGTGTCTCTTCTGCAGCTCGGACTTCACGTGGGCGAGTCCAGCAGTGTCAGCTGTGGCAAAGACCAAGTCGTCGACGTACACGAGGATGTAGAACGGCGGCAGAGTAGTGTCGGTGCGGAGAAACAACGACGGGTCAGCAGTGGAAGGAGCAAACCCAAGAGCCGCAAGCGTAGTCCTCAGTGTGTCGTGCCACTCACGGGGCACCTGGCGGAGACCGTAGACTGGCCGCCGGAGGCTCCACTGGGTACCAGGAGGAAAAGACCCAGTGAAGCCAGGTGGGCGGCGCAGCCAGATCTCCTCGTGCAGGCTGCCCTACAAGAAAGCAGTGCTGAAGTCAAGAGAGTGAAGCTCGTAGTCACGGTGAGCGGCTATGTGCAGCAGTACCTGAAGAGTGGTCATCTTCGGGGTGGGAGAGAAGGTCTGAAAGTAGTCAACTCCCTGCCGCTGACTGAAGCCACGAGCCACGTAGCGCGCCTTGAAGACAGGCGGAGAACCCGGCGGCCGCTTCACCCTGAAAATCCACATGCCACTGACGATGTTCGCCCCAGGAGGGGGAACCTCGTCGACGTAGGTGC